TTTGTTTTTATTTTTAAAGACACCTCACTGAATCACAGCTTTGGAAAAACCTAAAAATGAGTAGGTGGCCAGAGCCACATTGTCTTCCATCACTAACGAGTTTCCTCGTTGAGGTTATGTGGAACAAACTCTAGACAGGAGTCTCTTCTGCAGGGAGCAAGACATCAGCTAGGACATCACGAGTCCTCAGGCCAGGAATGGCCCCAAGGTATAGAGAGAGCAGGTTGGCCTTGCCTGTCTACCCTGTTTGGATAAAATGTTTCTGTTTCGTTTGAGCCCAGAGTTCATTTAGTCAGGGTGAGGAGAGGATGCAAAACTGGGTATAATTGAGAGGGAGATCTGGGAAGGAATTTTAAATCATTTAAGAAACTTTGAGACTTCTGGGCAAGGTGGCAGAGTAGGTGACCTTATGCTCGCTTCCTCCCAGGACTACATCGAAATTACAACTAAATTATAGAACAGCTACACTTGGGAACCACGTGAAGACTAGCTGAACAGAACTGCTATAACTAAGGATATAAAGAAGAAGCCACGTGAAGCCTGGTAGGAGGGGCTGAGACGCAAAATGGATGGTCCCACATCCACATATGGCAGTTAAGAATCAGAAGGGCTATCTTGGCTGCAGAGGTCCTTCCCTGAGGAGGGAGGGGTCCTAGCCCCACACCAGGCTCCCCAGCCCAGAGTACCAGTGCTGGGAAGAGGAGTCCCCATAATATCTCTCTGAAAGTCAGCGGGAATTCTGTCTGGGTGAGACAGAGGGCTGCTGGAGACCCACACATCCTCTTAAAGGGCCAGTGCACAGACTCACTCACGTCCAGAGACCTGGCAGTGATAGTTATTTTTTAGTAAAGGGTAACTTATTAATGGTAGGAGAAACAGGATATGAAGCTATATTCTAGAAATGGAATTTATAAGACAGAGCTCTCCTTAACTAAAAATAGGTTTCTATATTTAAAAATTACCAAGTGAAAAGATGTGACCAGTCAATACCAGGAAAATTATTGATTAAGACTCTAAATGTGCTTTGTGAACCTAAACGACTTAAATTCTCCATGGTTTCCAGAAGGAAGGGTTGAACTCCATTAGGAAGAAGAAGAGAGGGCAAATATGTTGGTATAGTATATCCGGTGATGACACGATAGGCTTGTGAATCTTCATAGTGAGTTTTTAATTCCATAGCCTTAATTCTTTCATTTAGTGTCACCCAAGGACATTAACAGAATGAGCTCTAGAGGAGTTCCAATTTACTTTAGAATTTTTTATGCTAGAAGTAAGGAAAACTGGGGAATTTTGCCAATAACCTTTGGGAATTGCATTATTTGTCTTCCTGCCAGAGGCCCTTACAAGCAGCTAATTCCCCACTGCAGAGGAAGTGATAGGAAGCAGCAAAGGAGCCTGCTTGAACTTGGTGGTTATTCATTGGTAGGACGTGCGTAGAGGGCAGAACAAAAATCTTTAGGTGGAAATTAAAGAAAAGTGGATTCGAAAACAGTGTAAAGAATGAATTGACAATAGTCAAGGCTAGCAAAAAGAGAAGGCTGTTTGGTGATACAGAGGTTTTTGTCATTATAGATACTAAAGATTAGAATGAAGTTTTGGGGAATTATTCTAGGTTAGGGATCAGCAAACTTGTTCTGTAAAGGGTCAGATAGTGAACATTTTAGGCGTTTTGGGTCACACGGCCTTTGTTTCAGCTACTCAACTCTGCGTTGGAGTGCAAAGGCCACCAAAGATAATATGTAAACAAATGAGCAAGGTGTTATCTTAGCTTGCTTGGGTGGCCATAACAAAATACCATGGACCAAGGGGCTTCAACAACAGACATTGATTTCTCACAGTTGTAGAAACTGAGAAGTTCAAGGTTAAGATGCTGGCTGATTCAGTTTGTGGGGAGGGCTGTCTTCCTGGTTTGCAGATGACCACTGTTCTGTCCGTGTCCTCACAGTGGGTGGGGATCGGGGATGGGCGGGGAGAGAAAGCTAGATCTCTTCCTTTTCTTATAAGCCCATAGTCCTATCACGTTAGGGCTCCACCGTTAAAACCTTATTAAACTTAATTCCCTCCTAAAGACCCCATTTTCAGATACGATTGCATAATCGCATTGGGGGTTAGGACTTCAACATATGATTTTTTTAAGTGGGGTGCAATTCAAGTCAGTTGATATCAGTGGTGTTCCAATAAAATTTTACTTATAAAAACAGAAGGTGGATCAGATTTGGCCCAAGAACCATAGTTTGCCAGCCTGTGGTCTAAAGGGAACCAAATACTCATCAGAAAGCAGATTATGTGATCTGTCAGCATATGTCTAGTTCAAAAGTTTTATGAATCTGTGCTGTCATGATTTAGACTCAGGCAAAAGACGTATTTGATGCCTAGCATAGCTTGATAGCATTAAAACAAATGCCCCACCCGCCCCGCCCACATAAGTCCCTCCCTGTAAAAATCCTGAGCACCACTGAAACATGGTTTTGGGAAAATTATTTGGGTGAGATTGGCATAATTTAGAGATTAAGAGTACAGTCTCTAGTTACAGACTGTCGTGGTTCATATCCAAGTTCAGCCACTTACTAGCTGTGTGACTTTAGGAAAATAACTTTCTGTCTCAGTTTTCTCATCTATAAAATGATGATAATAATAGAATTTACCTTATAGCAATGTCATGATGCTTAAATAAGGTAGTACATGTTGAGAGCATAAAACAATGCTTAGCTCATAGTAAGTTCTTGGTAAATGTATTATTATTTCTTGAAATAAGAAGCCAGAGGGAATATGATAGGGAGCTGAAGGTCATATAGCTTTCAAAGATTTAGGGATATTTTAGAAAATAAAATGTTGGATCAAATTGGAGTGTGTGTTTCTGTTTAAAAACAATAAAAATGCCATAAAAGAAAAACTGCGAGTCTTAGTACTTGGTAATAGAAAAGCATCTTTAACAAAGAAAAAGTATGGTTGTCTTGATATATTTTGCTGTATCTTAGAAAAACTTGGAGGAGGCTGTCGTTGGGTAAACTGCAAAATTGGCTGGATCAGAACAAACCTAATTAAGGGGTCATCAACTAGTGTTCCTAAGAATGAATCATTTAATAAATAGAATAGTTCTTAAGTCTGGGATTGGGTTTGCTTCAGTGTGCATCAAATCCATTTATATACTTTTGACTGATGTGAGATGCAAATGATGAGATATGGTATTATCATCCTTAGAACAGGTCTGGTATAGTTTTGCATTTGTAAGGATTGCCAGTTATAAAGTCTTAGGTCATTGATCGGCACACCAACTTTTATGATGATGAAACTGGAAAGTTATCAGTTCCCTCCTTATTTGTTGGAGAAGGGTCCCTAAGATACTTCTCAGCTGATAACTTCCCATTTCTTCAGAGAGAAAAACAGAAGCCACTAATGGACGTTCCCCCAATTTCTTATCATGAATCTGGCCATAAACTCAAGCACCTCAGCACTCCCTTCCAGTGGCAGTAAAGAATGAGAAATTTCATTGGTGTCTCTGACACCGTTCCCATCCAGCCTTTTCGAGTACTTTGTAACTGGTTTTTCCTGTGTAACCTAAAAAATATGGGTCTACTTTTCCACTCTGCTCTTGCCCAAAGCTTGCTTTGGCATACTGTATTACTTAAAAACCCAAACCAAATCACAAATCCAATTCTGGAGATATTAAACAAACGTTGTAAATTAAATGGATAGTGAAGGGAAGGGTTATATCGCACATGCATAATTTAAAATGCTAATTCAAAACCCTATTGAAACATTCTGCCCCATCCCCAAATTCCACTTCCAAAGTCCCATTCCTTAGGCAGCTGTCTCATCTTTTTCTCCCCATAACCTTCCTTCTCAGCCTTGCTCCCTCTTCCTTTTCTTTTCCTCCTCTCCATTCCTAGAATTTCTGTCTGTGCACTTTCCATGTCCTTTTGTACAGACAGAAATTTCGTGTCTCTGCTTCTTCCATTTGCATCCTGTATATCATTGCTGGGACCCTTAGTGATTTTTTTTTTTTTTTAATGCAGATCTGATCATGTGATCCTTTTTAATGCAAAATCTTCAATGGTTTCCCACCGATCTAGTGTGAAATTGCCAGACTCCTCAGGGATCCAGCATGCGCTGGACCCTGCTTACCTCCCCAGCCATGCTGGTCTCCCTCACCAGTTTCATCATTGCTCAAGTCCTTGTTATGGTATTATTTATTCTTGCTTGTGGCCCTTCACTTTGGCTATGCTCAGAATAGTTGTTTTCCTCCAAACTTAGTTAAGGCATCCTTCTGGGCTCAGCTAGATACCGCTTTTACATGAAGACCTTCCTTCACCCTCTGTAAGTTAGGTGTTCTTTCCTGTGAATATCTTCTCAGAATAACCTTTTACTTCTCCCATCGTAGTATTATCACACTTTTGTACTTGTGTATATCCCATTAGACTTAACTCATGAGTTCAGGGCCAAGTTTATCATGGTCACCATTTCATTCCCATCACTTAGCTAAGTACATGGCACATAGAAGATTCTCAGTAAATATTTCTTAGATAGATAATCTACATTTAAAATATATCTTTACTTTTTCACATCTAAGTTTATACCTTATCGTATGGCTTAAATATCTTTAGTATTTTTCCTTTATAAAAAGGAACAAATGTGTATCAATCTTGGAAAATGTATGTTACTTTTTCATTTGTAATTTTCTATTTATGCCCTATTTGTGACTTATGATTATATTTTCAGAGTAGAAGTATATGTAAAATATACAATTCTAGTTGTTCTTCAGGATGAAGGATTAAACTCTAAAGATTAAAAGAGAATTTCCACCGAACTTTTTATCATGCCAGCATTTATAATGCACTTACTACTTTAGAAGCTACTTTGGTCTTTTCTTCAGTGAATCCTAAGAGTGCAGTGATTGGTCTTTTCTTCAGTGAATCCTAAGAAGTGCAGTGATAATGCTTAGCATTATATATATATATATAATTTTTTTCTTTTCTTTTCTTTTTCTCTTTATGTCTTAGATAACCATGCCCAGGAGTGGAATCTTGAAATAGAGTCTTTTTTTGATGTTGTCAGCTCAAAGCCAGTCTCTGGTCAAGTGATTGTAGAAATCCCTAAATTGCAAACACAGCAGACATACAGCATTGAACTTCAGCCTGGGGAAAAGATTGTTGAGCTGTTTGTGAAAATTAACAAGGTGAATGATGGTACTTCATGAGAAGCATTAGATGAAAAGCAATACTGTTCAAAAGAAATGGTTAGAAAAAAGAGTCTGAGTGTTAAAAAAATGTATTTTTTCCATTTTCTCCTTCACTTTTAACCTCTCAGATATATATATATTTTGTGTGGGAGCTAAGGAATGATTTTTCAAGATTTTAAGATAGAAAATGGAGAATATGTGTTAAATTTGGCATCCTTTCCTCTCAGGAAACCAGGCGTGTTATATATTAATTTGTTTGCAGTATTTGCAGTATTCTAATCCAAAATATATTCTAAGCATCATATTTAAACACAGTGATTATTTTTGGCACTTGTAAATTATTATGAATATCGGTGCCTATTCTACATGCAGAATTCTAATTCTAAACTCATGATCTTTCATGGGTAGCAGTGGGTTAGATTTTACTTTTTCAAATTCACAATTTTGAATGGAAAAAGATGGAGCAAATCAACATTCAGTAACTGTTCAGATAAAGTAAGAACTCAAAACAGTTTCTAGTTCTGGGCTTAAAAGAAGAGTCAACTTCGAAGTTCAATTTTAAATGTTAAGAATGTGGAATAAATGTAAACTTGAGCTATAGAAATGGGAAGAGTGGTTTTTTGAATGCCCGTGTGTTATTCTTTTCTTTCTTTTTGGTGTATCAATCTGTGCTAAACTCCTAGCATATTGATTTTTAAATATTATCTGTGGGTGGTATAATTTGGTATATATAGGGAGGGAGAGCTATATTTTTTAGAACCTAGAATTTCTATGAGAAATTGATATAATGCTCTGAATCAGTATATTATTTTGCTGAAAATGTGCCATAGATTACTTGGAATGACTTATGTTATTTCTTAAAAGAATATTACTGTAGAAACTTGGTGGCCTCATGGACATGGAAGCCAGACTGGGTACAACATGACAATTCATTTTAACCTGGATAGAGGCTTAAAGTTTAAAAAATCAGCTAAGGTAAGCAAATACTTTAAAATATTTTGTGAAAAAAATGTATTTCTTATTAAAAGATTTTTGTAGGAAAAGAAGAAACCAACAAAACTGTAACCCCACCACTCAGAGATAATCACTAGTCACAGTATTAAACATTCAAAAGCTTGTGTGTGTGTGTGTGTGTGTGTGTGTGTCTGTGTCTGTGTGTCTGTATGCGTGTACAGTAAGTCCTCATTTAATGTCATTAATAAGTTATGCAACTTAAGCAAAGCATTGTATAATGAAATCAGTTTTAACATAGGCCAATTGATATGAATAAGAATTAAGTTCCTGTGGCATCTCATCAATGTTATAATGAAACAACGTTGAACAAATGTCTTTATTTAAGGACTTGCTGTATTTATATTTTAAAATGGATCAAACTTTACATATCTTTCTTTGGTTTTAGTTTTTCATATAATTTATTTAATTGTAAGTTTATCGTGGCTCCCAAGGGACCACAAAACCAGCGTACCTGGAGGCTGGTACTAGACCACAACAGAGCAAATCCTGACTAGTCCCATAGGTGGTCTCAACAAGTACACAAGCCTGCTGGGGCAGATCCCACTCAGTGGGGTCGGCCCCCACACAGCAACTTTTACCCTGTGGGTGCAGCCAGTTCCCACAATTTGTCAGCCTGCGCGTTAATCCCATCCACTGATGTACTAACACCAATAAAGGCTTAGCCACAACAGAAGATCATGTCCAGAGCCCCTGGCACAGGTGATTAGGGAGAGTGTGCCACTGGGCCACTCAGGACACCTTCCACGTTATGCCCTCTGGCCAAGGCTGAGAGATGAAACAAGTATTCTTAATTGTAAGTTTATATAATTTAATTTATTTTTTGTTTTTAAATATAATTTATTTAATTGTAAGTTTATGTCATTTAATTAAATATTTTTTAAAATTATGGTTGACATATGATATTGTTAGTTTCAGGTGTACAACATAGTGATTGGACATTTATATAACTTATGAAGTAATTACTCCAATAAGTCTAATATTATTATTTTGTTTATATTTTTCTACTGTTTTAAAATTGTACCTTATATCAGAGTAATCCATATATATATCATTTCAAATCTCAAGTATTACCAAAAGGTTTATATGAAAAAGAGGATCCTTTGCCCAACTCTTTCTATTTCTATTTTCTACTCCTTAGAATCGATATTTTTAAATTTTTACTTATTTCTTTTGTTTATCTTCATTTTCCCCAAATAACATGCTTCTACTGGTGTTTTATAATTTTTCAGTTTTGTATATTATCATTATCTATCGATTTCTGACCTAGAGGAGGACATAGCTCTCTTACATGATTCTCTGATGATCCCTTCTTGGCCCCTGATGTACACATTTTGCCTCCTCTGCCCTCCCAACATAGTCGAAGGCCATTTTTGTTAACTCAGTATTCAGTGTTTACCTTATTACATTATGAAAATACTATTCCAAGCTGAACCACATGGTGTACTAAAATTATATTTCCTTTCTTGTGCAACTTTCTGTTTTCCTTAGAGTTAATAATTGCCTCATGTTTCTGGTTGCTGTTTTCTCTTTACTTTCCTCTAAATCATATACAAACTCTATGACATATTTGAAATACCACACTCACTAGGTAATCTGTCCATTATTTATTATTACTACTTTTACTCTTTTAATTTTTGTTACTTCGTTAAACTTTCTCCTAGAGCCATTTTCTCATCTCCCTGATCTTGCTTGATTACTCTCTGGACCTTCCACATAACTGTTGTCCTGGAACTTCCTTTTATTATCATTATAGGACTTACCTTCAGCTGTCTTCTAGGAATTTTAGTTATTTCCTTCATCATTCTCTGGATTGAACATGGAACCTTGTTTCTTTAGATCTATGCTTCTCTTTTCTTTTTTGACTTTCCATTTTTGGTGAAACACTTTTTAAAAATATTAAATTTATTGGGGTGACATTGGTTAATAAAATTATATGGGTTTCAAGTGTACAATTCTACAATACATGCATTGTGTGTTTACCACCCAAAGTCGTATCTCATTCTGTAACCATACATTTGTCCCCCTTTACCAATTTCTACCTGCCCCCTCCCTCCTTTCTCTCTGGTAACCACCATACTTTTATCTGTGTCTATGAGTTTTTCTTTGTTTGTCTTGTTAGTTTGTTGCTTTCAGTTTTATATTCCACATATGAGTGAAATCATAAGGTTCTCAACTTTCTCCTTGTTTTGCTTAGCATGATATTATCAGGATCCAGCCATGTTGTTGCAATCGGCAGTATTTCATTTTTTTTTTTTAATGGCTGAGTAATATTCCATTGTAGATATGTACAACATCTTCTTTATCCAATCATCTATTGAAAGACCTTTTTGTTGTTTCCATGTCTTGGCCACCATGAATAATACCTCAGTGAACATAGAAGTACATATATATTTATGGATAAGTATTTTCAAAATTTTTTGGGTAGATCCCCAGAAGAGGGATTGATGGGCTGTATGGTAATTCTATTCTTAATTGTTTGAGAAACCTCCGTACTGTTTTCCATAGTGAACTTACCAATTTACATTTCTACCAGCAGTGTATAGGGTTCCTTTTTCCCCACTACGTCTCCAACATTTGTTATTACTTGTCCTGTTGATGATAGCCTTTCTAAAACGTGCGAGGTGATATTTCGTTGTGATTTTGATTTGCATTTCCCTAATAGCTAGTAAAGTTAGCATCTTTTCATAA